ATTCAATGAAATATATGGCAGTGTCTTTGATATGACAATGGTGGACTGTTCCAAGTTCCTTGTGCGTCCAGGAGAGGAAAAGACCGATTCCGTGAAAGATTAGGTTAGAGCAATAAAAATTGAAAAAAATATATATTTATAGATTCCTATGTGAGAACCTAATACTATGAACTTAATATGAGTTTCATAAAAGCCATTATTTTTGACGGCACGAGTAAACTTGTTTCTTGATTGTTCTGCGGGTATATCTTGGTATCGAACTCAAACTTCCGTGAAACATTGTCTTAACAATTACGTATTGATTTTAAACTGCTCTTAAAAATGCCATTTCCCCAGTGCGTGATATTCAAATTACCTCAAGACCAGGAAGGCGTTCGTCCGTAAAAGTTCAAAACAGAATTTAGTCAGAACTGAAGATTCACAACTTTTTTCAGGCACCCCCCTCCACTGCAACTTTCTATATTTTAATGCAAAAGCTAATGTTAGAAGCAACAAAACGGCTTTTTCTTCTGATAAGCAAACGATGAATATTATCTTTCGAATGAGAAATGATTTGTCGTTTCAGAAAAAAAGCGAATGATTTATTGCTGTAAGATCTTTACTTTCATATCGCAAACTTTATGAGCATGCAAATGTGTAAATAAATATACTATAAACGCCACCTCAATAATTATAGTTTCCAACCAAAACTTATCAATTTAAGAATGAGTCGATATTCTTAAAATAATGTTTTTTTTTAATTAAAGTGTAACGCTATCCTTATGATTTCATTTTATAACTAAAAAAATAAAAAAATTACGATTACCTTAAGTATGAAATAAAACCTCTATAAGTTGTCTTAAATCGTTATAAGATTTGCTACCAGAGTAAGATCCAAAATAAAGAAACTTCTAGTAAGATATTTTGTCTGTCACTCAAGGATAATCATTGCGTTCACTGAATTCAGACCAATCTACAGATTGTATTGATTCATCCGGTTTAAGCAAGAAGACCAAGTTTTTGGATCAGTCAACTACAGCTCGAATCTTACTATGATCGATTTTTCAATGAAGTAACTTTTAGATAATATCAGCCCGTGGAAGATCCCAATGTGTAGTATCATTGAGAAGTGTCTGGAACTCAAACCACAATTTGACCCAAAACTTGTGAGTGAAACCGGATAGACAAAACTCTTCGGAAACCACTGAAGTTTATGCTAGCACCAAGTCACAAGTCATCGTGACCGAGAATTTCGCCGTACTGTGCTAGCTCAACAATTGATCACACCAGATTATGTCTAGTATAAACCGCATGCTGGTGCTGTGGGCGATGAAGAAACAGGGAACAGGGATTAGCTAATTACTCTAGCAGACAGGAATTTTGCTTTCAAATTTTCCCTTCGTTGTTTTTTTCTTTTTTTGTTTTTTGTTTTTTGTTTTTTTTTTGTTTTTAATCGAATTTACCCCAAGCGACGCAGTAAAGAGTAAAGCCACTAAGTCACACGGGGTTACTGAGTGTGAAAAAATTGGAAATCAAAACATTATGAAGGAGCGAGAACAATAATCAGGAAGACAGTAGATAATAATTGACATTGCATTTCAATTTTGAAAGATCGAAGTTGGCCGGAATACATGGAACCGAAAGAGAGTTGCACACGCGAGAAATGCGAGAAAAGAAACTGTTACCATAGACCTTACGGTTACATCTAGCCAATTAAAAAAAATTAAATTGATCAGACCTTGTTGCCAATTCAGTAATGCGCTTAAATTCGTAAGGTCTGGGCACCATAGCGAAGAGCTCATCCGAACAATTACCATGAAAGTATTTATAGAAAAGACACGGAGAGGCAACTTTATGGCAATGGAAAAGTCACTGAAGCCGAGACACCAGGTCAGGACCAAAAATATTGCTGATTCTTCTTTGAATTCTATTAAGAATCTCTAAATAAATATAAGGGGCGCCGGACCGTATGTGGCACCAATATTCTAAGCATGGACGAATGGTAGACATATAGATATGTAAAATTCTGGAGAGAGAAATTGTCTAACACGACCTAGTGAACCAACTTTCTTAGCAACAAACATAGCAATGGATTCAATATAATCTCTCTACTTAATGTCAGCCGAGAATATTACCCCGAGAAAGCGCAACAAGTCACTCTTCTGGAGGTTAGCATCAGCCATGCTGATAGAAAGGAGCCTTTCGGATGATCAACATGGAGCAGTTTTGTTTTAGAGGCGTTAAAATTAACAAACGATTCTTTGCCCCAGTTAACAACAGACTGCAGGTTGTCAAATTGACCTTATCGAACTGATTAGATTTAGTATCGAGACAGGAGTAAATGGTTGTGTCCTCAACATAGATACCAAGTTGAAAGCTGATGCCACCAGGAAGGTCGTTAATAAACATTATCCACAACAAAGTTCTCTTAACCGTAACTAGAAAATCCTAAGCTGACTGAACAGGTCAATACAACCCGTACAACATTCCTAACCAACCTCCATGAAATCGGTAAAATATTAAAATGAATTCTACATGATATGACCTGTTCTCAACTTAATCGGAGAGTTACCATTTGTGTGTGTGTGTGTGTGTGTGTGTGTGTGTGTGTGTGTGTTTTTTTGTTTTGTTTTTGTTTTTTTTAAATTAAGAACAAGATATGTTGCTGAATCATTTCTGGAATGAATTGTTACAAGTGATGATATAATGATATTCCATTAAAGTGACGGTGATTAGGACAAAAAAAGTCTGTACCTGTACCAAACCAAGGATTGCATTCAGCTGAAGGTTATTCTCTGGGTTTATTAGGATAAGAAGCGTGTTGAGTTGTAATGAAGCAGTCAATCCTGAAAGATACTCTCGTTAGTTGGGAAACAGTCTTAGTTGAAAAAGCGAAATTCCATGATCAAACGGAAATATGTGTTACTCTTGCATACGAATGCAAGATCACAAGTTGTAAAACACGCAAGAAAAGATTCTGCATCTGAATGTCATTTTTACTACATCAAATTACTCATAGCTCACAAATCTTCCTCTAGCCTTATCAAAACTTTAGATGATTTTCTGTACAGGAAACATAAAATCAGTTATGAAGAGGTTAAAAAAAGATGTTTTTTAAGCTTCAAACTCGAAGGGATTTTATATAAGCTTGCTTGCTCGATGGGATTATGGCATCGAAAATGAAGGAAATTATCACACAGATCGCATTTGCGGTTGATCGTTAAATATAAGTCAGTCATATTACAACAACAAAAAAATGACAGGATTTTCTTTCCAATTTAACATTTACTAAGTTCAGCGTCGCCGTAGGCCTACCTAGTGGCTGAGAGAGTTACAAATTTCCTGTCGATGTTAGCTATTTATGGTCTCAACCTGAATAAATGCCACAAATTTCGAATGCCACTCTTCAAGACAAGCAGGCTCACTTCATTTAAACAAATCGACGCAACAGATTCTCTTTACTTAACCATGTACCATACTAGATTCAGTTTAATATACCTCAAACTCTGCTCTAGTAAACTAGGTTTGTATTTGCTAAACTTCTTCGAATACAGCACAAGGATAAACAAACGTAGAAAGACTGCGTTGCGCCAATCTGGTTAGTAGTTTGGGCAAAATTATTAAATACGGTATAAAATAAAGTTTTTGGTAACTCTTTTTGTTAAAATTTACTTTTTTTTCTTGAGTTCTTGAGACGTCAGCAGTGAAGTGAATTTAATCAAATTTGAGTTCATTTGCTTATTTTTTAAAACATATATTTATATTCGTCCGCAAAGCTGATTTATGCAATTATTTATATTGATTCGTAATGGAATACGAATACAGTATTTAAATATCCTTACATTACCAAGCTAAGCTTAATAAATATTAGCACACCTTGCCCCCCCTTGCTTACCATCAACAATTTTTATATATAATTTAACACGCAAGAAGAGCACCTCGAGGCGGTGTAATGGTTAGCAAGCTTGTCTTACTAGAACAATTATGACTGAGTAGTGAGTTTGATCCTCACTGGGTGTCCCATACTTTCGGCCTTGTGCCACATCTATGCTACGCTTGGAAAATCACTACAATTTTACACGCATTAATTTTTATGTCGTGGGGTGTTTTGTAGGTTCCCTGTGTATGTGTGTGCGGTATAGGTAGGATAGAATGACGATGGACGAGTTGTGGTGAATGTGCAAATTGTAATGAATGAAATAGGTCGTGAATCTAATTAGCTAGTTATAGGATAGTTAGTATCGACCAGCCTCAACCCATTCCCCCCTTTTAAACCTTGTGCCACAATTGCTGTATTATTATACACAATAAATCAATGTTATCACATCTCGCCAGGGACAATGGTTAGCATTCTATTTTCACAAAACATTACTACTGAAATCAATTCGATTAACACTGGGTGTCTCACGTTTTTGATTTTATGTACTTAGTTTCGTGACTATCCAGACCCGTAAGATTAAAGAAATACGAAAGAATTTAAATAATTGTTAAATTAATTTTGCTAAGTATTTAAAAGATCGTTTTGAGTTTAATACTTTTTTTTTCTTAAGCAGCAGAACCAAATACGAAAAGCATAAAATTTGGCGTGAGAACGTAAAGAAACGATCTAATATCGGCTGAAATTCAATATCTCGCTAAATCTGACATTTAATAGAAGAATCTACTTTTGGTTTCGTATTCTATTTGTCGTTAATCATCCTGAACATCCTAGGCGCCTTGTTGTTGGGTAATGCTCTGCGAGCTAGTCTATTACTACTGACAGGTAAGTTCGATCCAAACTGGATACCTTAGACTTGTGGCTTTGTAGTAAACTAAGCTAAGCTTAATACATAACAATCATCTGAACATCAGGAAGAAAATCGGTCACCAAAATTGTTTTTCAAAATAGTTTGCTGCTCCTTTCATATTCATTTGTGCTTTTTATCGCCAATCAACTTCCTAGTCACGCATACGTAGTACAAAATATCTACTCTTGTGTAACGTACAAATGCCGACACGATTAAATTATCTCTCCCGGACTTACGGCCATATGTTGAAACACCGGTTCTCGTACGATCACCGAAGTTAAGCAACGTCGAGTCTAGCCAGTACCTAGATGGACAATCGCTTAGGAATAGCTGGTGCTGTAAATTTGAATGTGCGGGTGGTGTAATGGATAACGGCTCGGAATTGGAAATCGGAGAGTTCCAATTCCAGTCAGGTTGGTTATATTCACTTACGCGAAAATACCCTTGGGGAAAGTTATGAATCCACCTCTTCTCCCCATAGCTATGGGTTAATTAGTAGGACTTGTATCAGTAAATCATTATTATTTCCAAAAATTTCTTACACTCTAAAAATGTTTTTTGGCTTTAAATAATCTGCAAAAGGTTGATAAGCCGTAAAAAACAAATCAATCACTCACTCAATTTTTCACGGTGTTTATTTGGTCCGGAACGTTTATTATTTTTAAAAACATTTCCTGGTGCTATTATCCAAACTGTCACGTTTATTAAACTTTATATAAAAACTCTGAGTGGAATGTTTATTTGGATTGGTGTTCATATTTTATATTCCCCACGGCATGACTATTCTAGACAATAATTGTCATTGGTAAAACCGTGTAAATAATAAAGGGAATCTCTATAGCCCCTTATTGCATTTACTACTGAATTACTTTGATTACTATCAGCAGTATAATCAAATTTACAGCATGAATTGTCTACTGTACTCACAGAACTAGTATCGAACAAACTACTTTGTGTGAGAGAAAAAACATCCTGTAAGTGATATGTGACTTTGATAATGTAAACATTGTTCAAAAAATGTCTGACGATCATTGCTCTGAATGTACAACGCTACGGAAGAAGTTATTTCTGTCCCAGGAATGAAAGCCGAGATCTGCGTTGTGAATGACAAAGCTATAAGTGAATCTTCATTTGAAGATGACGACGATAGTGCAACTGCCACTTAATTCAAAGGAAGCGCAACTGGGAACGAGTAAAGAAACGAACGTCACAAAGCGAAAAAAAAAAAACAAAGAAAATATCAGGTTTCTCGCCTTATTTTGTAGCCGAGAATAAATAAATTTTGTCATTTGCAGCTAAGGAGGAGTAAAATATTAATAAGCATATAAAATCAGAAGATCTCCAGAAATTCCGTGGCTTGCGAACGAATGTAACATATCGTTTTTTCCAATCATATATATTTTATGTAACATATCGTTTTTTCCAATCATATATATTTTATGTAACATATCGTTATTTTCAATCATATATATTTTATGTAACATATCGTTATTTTCAATCATATATATTTTATGTAACATATCGTTATTTTCAATCATATATATTTTATGTAACATATCGTTATTTTCAATCATATATATTTTATGTAACATATCGTTATTTTCAATCATATATATTCTATGTAACATCGTTTTTTCAATCATATATATTTTATGTAACATCGTTTTTTTTCAATCATATTTTATGCAACATATCGTTCTTTCCAATCATATATATTTTATGTAACATATCGTTTTTTTTTTCAATCATATATATTTTATGTAACATATCGTTTTTTCCAATCATATATATTTTATGTAACATCGTTTTTTTTTTCAATCAGATATATTTTATGTTCCGTGTCGCTTCAGAACGAGGCCGATCATAGCCCTTTACAACTTCCTATCCTTAGCTCGAAGCAATGTTTATGATCTTACTATTCCTCCGAGCTCATATTCTGCCATCCAGTTACACAAGTTTTATATTTTATTCGCTGATCCCCACTACCTCACTTACCTTAAATACGGCCTGTGAGTGGAAAATTCTCCAAACCCTCTTTCCTCGTTATGTGTCCCAGGTATTTCAAGTATCTTTTTTTCTGATTCTAAGCAAAAGTGTTCTTTTCGTTCCCATTTTCCTTGAAAGAAACTTCCGCGTTGCTCATATGTTCCGTCCATAGTATTCTCAGCATTCTTCCACAGAGCCACATCTCTGTTGCTTTAAATTACCTCTTCATCTGCTAGAAATTGCCAAGCATTCACTGCTATATAGGAATCATATAACGAACATTTTTTTTAATCCTCTAAAAATCACCTTCTGCGCGAAGAAAACTTTTTCAAGAAAAATGACACTTAAAGAAAAACGACTGAAATTGGTCTCGAAAAGTTCCGTGGCTCAGCACGAGAACTGAATAATACCACCAAGACTTGGGCACCTCGAGGTGGTGTAATGGTTAGCAAGCTTGTCTCGCTAGAACAATTACGACTGAGAAGTGAGTTCGATCCTCACTGGGTGCCCCATACTTTCGGCCTTGTGCCAAATCTGAGCTACGCTTGAAAAATCACAATACCACCAAGACTTAACAAGCTGGTTTTGCAGATCAAAACAACTGAAATGTGTTCGATCCTCACTTGGTGCCTCTCACTTTTGCCTTTGTACAAGACTAAATTAGATTTAATCAATATCATCAGAGTACCACACTATGGAACGAAAGCTAGCCAAATGCTACTGCATACGCTACTGAAGTGAGTTCGATCCTTACTGACAATCTCACAATTGTGATCCTGTACCCCGGAATCGATACTTCAAATATACAAATCAACCATTCGCCCTTGCATGGAGTATTGCTGCCATATATGGTCTGGGGCACCTTCTGTTTACCTCGGAGTTCTTGACAAGATCCAGAGGCGGATAGGTAATATAATTGGCCCTGATCTCGCCTCTCTCTGTCTTTTTTACAAATACTTTCATGGTAATTGCTCCGATGAGCTTCTTTCACTGGTTCACAAACTTCATGAATTCAAGCGCCCTACGAGGCTGGCATCCCGCTCTCACCCTTTCACTGTAGAAACTTTTAAATATAGCCGTCTCTTCTACTCCAATAGCTTCATACCTCGCACCTCTCGCCTGTGGAACACCCTTCCATATTACTGTTTCCCTGAGAACTATAATCCCCAACTATTCAAATGTAATGTCAATCGATATCTCCAGTTACCTTGATCTATCCACTACCCTTCTCCTCATCCTTTCTTCTATCACTCCTATCTGCTCTCGCTCCAAATCTTCTGCAACACCCTGCATCCTAGTGGCTTCCCGCCTTGCTCGAGGCGTAATGCTTAAAAAAAATATAACTGTAAGATTCGGATGTATCCAGATCTACTTCTGGAACTGACGAAATGCCCTCAAACTCTTCTCGTTGGCAATATTTCTTGTACGTCTGTGTGAGTGCTCATATCCTCTAAATTTGCAGCGTGTAAAATGGAAATTACTTTTTCTTATGCATTTATTAACAGTTCCTTAACTCAAAGTCGTAGTTTTGTCTTATGGTTAATATTGGTCAACGTTATCAGTAATAGCAATATCAATTCATCCGCCACTGAGCCACAGATACTCTACAGTGAACATTGAAGTAGTTCTGACTTCTACTGATAAGTGGATCCGCTATAGCTCCTTATTTCGTTCATTACGATTATTTTCTAATTCGAAGACGTTTATAGATAGAACTTTAATTTTCTAGTCGGAGATATGCACTACCGTGCATGCTGAAGCAGTCTCTCCCTCGACTGATCGAAGGGGTCATTAACCTCATTATTTCGTTCACTACAGTGACTGCTTTTTAATTTAAAACGATGCACAACTTTCAGTGTAGAGAAAGGATACCATAATCAAAAGAAAAAGAAAAGCAACAATATTAGCTATTAATTTTCTTTATCCTTTTGGTGCATTTATCACAATATTCTGGGCCGGTTCACTGTTTGAGCGTTAATGTAAACAGCGTAAAATCGAAAATTTGTTTGCGAGTTCATCTTATACGGATGGCGGCTCAACCATTTTATTATATATATATATATATATATATATATATATATATATATATATATATATATATATATATCCTCATCTATTTTCTTTTTGACAGTACTTTATTCCTAAAGTCTTTTGGGATGAGAATAAACAAGTTAACAAACAACAGTAGTCAAATATGATTCTCAGGAGATGCGAGCCAAAAAGGTTAAAGAAGCCATTATTTTCTTTTTTTTTTATTTGTGTGGGTGTGCTGAGGTATGGATCGCGGCTCGGAATATGAAATCGAAGTGCCGAGTTTGAATTCCAGTCTAGTTCATTACATTCACTTACGTGCAGGGAAGGGTATGAAGCTATCTCTTCTCTCCCAGCTATGGATAAATAGCAGGACAGGCTGGGCAACACAATCTTGCTTAGACTGGCAACCATTCTAGGAGAAGATAAAACTGAAGTCCCATCAACTTGGAGAGGGATGCGCTCTGTCTGGCTGGCTTGCCCAAGACAAACCACTGCTGCTACGGATACACTACATATGATGCCCTTAAGACACTGATGCTTACGGGACTCATCGTTTGTATATGTTTTTGGTGTATCTGATGTGAGTAAGTATATGAAAAATTAACAAAATTAATAAATAACAACAAAACAGTAAATGATTAAGACTCATTTCATTCTTTCTCTTATTTTCATCGTTGTATCGTTCTTTCTTCTGTTGATATGACAAAGAATTTGCCAGAATTTCAAATCTTTAATAAAAATAAATAAATTATCTAAACTTTTTAGATGCCTCAGTTGCGTCGCTATCAGATTTTCAAGAGGACAATTTTTCACGGCGTTTCTTTGTAGTTTGAGATTTTGAAAAGAAAGCCCAAAACTTTGGAAACTTCGGATCGGTTCAATTCAAGTTACTTGCATTGAGATTATAATTTCATTATTTAATTACCAATTTCCGATTATGAAAAAATATATATTTATTTTTTACTTATATTTTTATTTATATTATATATACGAATGTTATTCGTCAGAATGTTTTCTTAATTGGAAACAAATTTTTCAACAATATATACTTATTTTTCATATCTCGAATTAATTTACTTTTTCAATACTTAAATTATTTCATTTGTCTTTTTCTCCTTCTATGTATCGTGTCCCTTCAGGAACGTGCACAATCATGGGTTCTTTCTAAAAATGTCCACATTTTTCTTGCAAATATTTAAGACAAGATATTAGATACTAAGAATTAAAGAAAAGAAAAAAAAAATCAATAGCAACCGTCTTTTTAAATCCATTTCAATTAAATTAATAATGGGAGTAATTTATCTTTTTTTTTTTAAATATTT